TTCCAACAAACAATGAAACAAATAAATTAAAAAAAAAAAAAACTATTAATCTTTTCGTCCAATTCTTTCATTTTTAATCCTAATTATACAATTAAAAAATAAAATAATAATTTAAATAGTTTGCAATAAAAATCACTATTAAATATTCCCTTCCCATACTTTTAACTACAAATAATATGTATCATTTTCATATCTTATCAGTTTTAAACAATATACTTTTATTTGATATTCATAAAACTAGTTTTGTTATTTAAATAAGTTTTGTTTTGTAGAACGAGCTTATTTAAAAAAGTCGAGCTTATCTCATACGCTTTATTAGGTAATTTTTCAAATAAGCTCGTTGCAATTTTTATTTCAGCTAGCTTATCAGCTAATTTTACTAAATACTTTTATCATTTAAACCTTTCAGCTAAGTTCGAAAATTACAGATAAGCTATAGACTAGTTTATCGGCTAGTTTTACCAAACATAGTCATTATCCTCTCCCTTTCAGAGGCGGACTCTACGGTTGACAACCAGCTCGTACTCCCATTCACACATTTCACAATTTCGTCTAAAATCAATGTCGTTATACTCTTCCATATATCGCATATAGTTTATGAAGCAGCCTACTCGTTAAACTGGTCGTCCCATCATATTTTTTTATTTTATAATAAGAATACATATATAATACATTAAATGTCATTTTCTCTATATTTCTTTTTAGTATCACACTTCAATTCAGCTTGTAAAACATCATGTTTGTAGGAAACGAAAAAGAAGCTGCCTGAGTTCAAAGATAAGGACTTAAAAAAAAAAATTCGTACCTTATCCATTCACCAAACACTTCATCACCACCTTTTATGCCCCAAAATTACGTGTGATTTTATAATTTTTCGAATAATAAAACATTTAAGAAAACATTGCTAATGAAAGGACCAATATCACTTCATAAAACTGTTTTGTGATTTTATCCACCCTTTTAATCCCACCAACTCATTCCTTTTCTTTTCTTTTTTTTGGTATTTTTATATCCATCTCTATATATTAATTCAAAACGTGTAGAGCCTAGACGACAGATTCTCATGCTTCGAATATTGACATGTCGAAAATCTATGCTTCGTGATTTTGTTTTTATATTATGTTTACTCTGGAGGTAAGTTTGGTATTAGACATAAATAACTTCACACATATATTCATTAACTCAATACGCATGTTGTACATGCGTATTAATACTAATTTAATTTATATATAAACTGTATAAAAATGGTTACGTGGTTTAAAAGTATTAATATATGTAAGGCAAATTGCAGAACTCATGTAGCTAGGAAAAAGAAAAAAAAAATACACTGTGAATATAAATATAGCTAGGGAAATACAAAATTTATGGTGAAAAATACAAAAATTATGTTAAAAAAAAAACTGAAGGAAAAAGAAAAATAAAAAAAATACACTGTGAATATAAATATGGCTAGGGAAATACAAAATTTATGGTGAAAAATACAAAAATTATGTTAAAAAAAAAAAAAAATTGCCCGTATGTTATTGTACATGTGATGTTTAATATGTTATAGGGTTGACCTTCATTGAAATATTCATCAGAATTATTTCATAATTTACCACAATAATTATGACATTAAAATATCTACGAAATTTATGTTGAAATATATTTTGTCGTTGAATTTTTTGTTTTGATTTTTTTAGTGGTCCCGATATTATTTCAACTTGGATCGACCCAACTAGTGGACCCAAAACTGAGTGAGTACTTTGAACTGAGTGACATCAAGTCCGGTCAAACCCAGTCAACCTAACCTTCACACGGACGGATCGGCCCAGTTTGACTTGGTCACATCAAGTCCGGTCAAACCCAACTAGTGGAACCTATGTATATATATTTATGTGATTATTTAAAGTTTTGATTTATATACAAAATATTTATTTTTGTTATTTTTAAATGTAAAAATATTGAGTGGCACCATAAAGAAGAAAATAAAACAATATATAATAATCTTAATGATACAATAAAAATCAAAATGTAATTAAAAGATTAGATTTGCTTGAAATGACTTTTTTTTATGTTGAATGAATATTCAACTTTTTTAAGAGGAAAAGGCATATATACTGTACTATGGCGGCAAGCAAAAATGGAAGAATATTGGTATTTTGACAACTTTGGTTCTTCAAAATAAACTGGACATATATATTATAATATAATACTTTTCTATTATTTTAGAGATTACATTGCTTCTAAAATAAATAACCATTAAATAGATGATTTCATTTTAAATTATTTAAAAATATTTTATTCAGAATCTGTTCGAAATGTCAATTATAGTATTCATCGCTATGAGAGTGGGAATGAAAAAAAAAAATGAGATCTTGTTTCTCAAAATATGGAAAAATGGGAGTTTAACTCCGAAAGAAGCACCGCACGAAACCTCTCGGAAATTGATTGATATATTTATTGCCTGGAGAAGATCCTTAGAGCAGCTCTTTTTTATTATTATTATTATTATTATTATTATTATTATTATTAAAAGAAAATTACATTGGGATTTTAAAAATTGTAGGAGGTGGAAGAAGCAGAAAAAAAAAATTAAAGAAAGCAAGCATGGCACAAAAGTTGGCCTAATAATGATGATACCATAAAATTATAATCCCAACTAAATCATTCTACCAATAATAATATATTAAACATACAAATAAATTTATATTATTGTTCCAAAAGAATACTCATGACTCTCTTCTCTGTACCAAACAAATTGTACACCATAATAATCATTTAAAATTAATTAAAGTTTAAAACCCATAACTAACTTCCCATTACTAGTGGGATCTCATTAATTTCTCTTTCCTTTAGTGTGAAGAAAGTCCTAGCCCCACCCCCCACCCACCC